AAAAAAAGAGAAGAAAAAAGTTAGAAGAAAAGACTTACAGTTTTTTTCTTCTACAATCTTACTCATGTTGCCAAATACCAATAGCAGTAATAGATGAAGAAAAGAAGCTGCTTCTTTTCTTTTTTTTTTTTTTTCATCTATAAACAGTTAACGGTTATAAATTTGTTTTTTTTTTTGTCTGATTCTATTCAAAGAAAAAAAAAAATAAAGAATGAGAAGAATAAAACTAAGGTAACAAAACGAAAAACTTTTTTTTTTACTTTATTTAAGAAATTATATTTTTCTGTATATATAAAAAATTTCTATGAGATATGAATGTGTTTTTTTTCTTATGTATTACTTTATTTTACAGTTATTCTATTAATATTTCTGGTAACAGCCGTTTCAAATGTCGATAGCTATTGTTCAAAAAGAAATTCAAAAATTTTTGATAACTGTAAATAAATCTTTGTACGCTGATTACTGCTGTTGCTATAGCAAAATTATTGATACAGTAAGAGAATCAAAAAAAAAGCTAAAGATTTCATTTGGTATCTTTTTCTTGTTCTTTTTTCTTTTTTTTTGACTGTTATAGCAATAGCATTGGTAGCGATAACAGTAATAATAATAATAATAATAATAATAATAATAAACAATAATAATAATAATAATAATAATAATAATACAGACTCTTACAAAATATCGGTGTAAGTCAAAAGAACAGTCTATATCGGAAAAGAAGGATTAATTAAGCGAAAAAAAGAACAAAAAATACCGGATACGATGTATGCATTACGTTTCTAAATAATAAAATTTATGAAGAAAAGAATGATAAAGAATATAGTGATTTTGATAGAAAACAGAATTGGGAGATAGATGCTTGAAAAAAAAACAAGAAATTATCTAAATTTGTTTTTTTTTTTTTTTTTTTTTGTCAAAAAATTATTCCAACAACTTTAGTATTTTATTTATCACTGTAATTGGTTTACAATTTTTGTAACTTTCAAATTGGCTCAAACTTTTGACATAAAGAAAGCAAGCTTTCAAAAAAAAAAACTGAAAGATATTTAGTTCGAGAAACACAGTTGTATTGAAAAAGTTGTTTCTATTTGTTTAGCAGAGTCTATTTTATTAAAATTACTGGTTTTAAAGAAGAAAAAAAAGTAAGGTGTTCAAATTACCAGATGACAATGGTAAAATAACGTATTTGAAAGCTGAATGTAGATGCTACAAATTAACATTTTGCATTCTTTAACTGTATCAATTTATAAGTGAGAAAAATAAAACTAAAAAAGTTGAGTAGAGTAAAAACTTTTGTATAAAATCCTCTTCGTTTTTTTTTTTTTCTCTTTAATTTGTGGTGTATATTTTTATTCTTCCGTAATCATTCAGTTATACTCCTATTGGAAAAAAAATATGTTGTATTACAACAAGCGTTTAGTTAGCCTGATCAAGTTCTTCAAACAAAAGTCAAAAATTACTTCATATTTCAATTGTTTTTCTTAATTTATTTGTAGCTTAAATTACAAAACTTAAGTAATACAGATAAATAATGCAGATAAAAACAATTCTGTTTATTCAGATAGTATTTTAACAGACAAAGCTACAGTTCATTGGGCTGCTACTGTTGTTGGTAAACAATGAATGGTGAATTAGCTGCTGCTAAAATACCAAAAAAAAAATAAAATTTTTTCTTTTTTTCAAGTTATAATTTTATAGATTTTGTCTACAGAAGTAAGCGTTTGTATGTGGATATGATATTTTAAACTTAATTACTAAAAATGCCAACTTTTCTAGGCAAAACTAGCAGGCGAGTAAGAACAGTAAGCTTTAGGTCAATAAAGCTTTAGGTCAAAAGTTGGAAAATGAAGAATACAGTCATAGAAAAATTCCAATTTTTTTTTCAGTGGCTTACCAAGGATAAAACTTTTTATTCGACGGCAATATTCAGACACTAATAATTAGTGTTATATTTTAATTTTGTTTTGTAATCTACTGTCTTGACTAATTAGAAAAAAAAAGTTTGAATATTCTTGTAGAAAAGGTAGTTTTTATTGTCATAAATCTGCTACTGCAACTGTCTTTACTTGTCAGTAAAAGAAAGCTTAAAATTGAGAAAAAAGGAAGTAATAAGGCAACAAAAATCAAACGTTAAGATGTTTTTTTCTGTTGTTGATATTTCTACAAAAAATATAATGTAGTAAGATAAAAAATTTTGAAATGATTCAAAATAAATTTTTATGTTTGGATGCACAGAAAAGAAATAAAACTTGAGCTTTTTGATTCTTGCAAAATTGAACAAATTTTTCACTAGAAATAGTTATCAGTAAAATTAGACTGTAAAATGTTTGCTTTATAATTTTTTTTATTGTGATCACACAGTATCTACAGCAAATTGGACGGTAAGCTGCAATTCTTCCTAAGAAGTAAGATCTAGTGCAAGTATCTGACAACTCTTAGCAATGTTCTGTGGTTGACTACACCAATTTTTCTGTAGCCTTTATTCCTTGAAACTTCTGTAAAGTGTTAAAAATCTTTACTGGCATAAGTAAAATTTTGAATATTTTTTCTCGCTTTTTTTCTGCAGTAAATATCAGAGCAAAAAGATTTTTACAATTTTCAACTGCCAAACAGTATTTGGTGTGTTATTGTGCTGCAAATTAAACAGTTATTAGGCTGTACTAACTTTGGACCGCTGCAAAAAGTAAATAGTTAAAATGTTAAGGCTGATAGATCTGATGACTTAAAGAATTTTTATAAACAACTTGGAATTTCTAAAATTTATGCGTCTTCTTTTTTTTTATGTTGGCGAATTTGATACTAAATTATTCTGCTAAAATAAAGAAACAAAAACAACACCAAGGTTATGGAAAAAAATAATTTTATAATACATTTGTCTGCTTATTTTGCATTAATTAGAGCTTTTTTTTTTTGTTTTTGTTTTCCTTTTTTTTTTTGTAAGACATAATATTGAAAAAAAGAAAAAAA